TTAGAAGGTATCGTAAAAGCACCTCTAAAAACATCGGCACATCCGTCAGCCGTTAAGAATGCCATCGTTCGAAATATGATAAGAACAGCAACGGGAGCAGAAGGACAGAAAGAGTTGCGAAATGTCGAGCTGAGCATTGCGAAAGAAAATGGCTATCTCATGCATCATACTCATGGTAGACCATGTTCTTTACGTGATGCTGCTCAGCAAAACAACAAAATAGCGCTCTGTCTTCCTTTCGTCTCAGATGAAATTAGTGTTGCAACACGACAGAGCATTAAACGAACACAATTGAGCAGCGATGTCATTTTGGTAAACGTTCCTAGCGATAATCTAAAGAAACGGCTTGTACGAAACAGTCTCTATGACAAATACTGTATCTCGAAAGAGTGCGTAATTTGTCTTTATAACAGCATCGGAGATTGCGCTAAAACAGGAGTGACATATCAGTTAGAGTGTTTAGTTTGTGGTGCTAGTTATATAGGAGAAACCGGAAGAGCACTTGGCGTAAGGGTTAAGGAACATCTTGCCAATATACGTAATGGTAGTCTAGTTTCTCCTCTTGGGAAACATAAGCATGACTATCACTGCGATCAAGAATACGAAGTCAAATGTACAATTTTGGCATACGAGAAGATACCGCTGCTCGAAAAGCTCTCGAAGCAATTTGGATCACGCGCAAAACACCGCTCATAAACAACAAAAACGGCGGTGAGTGCATAGCCGTTACAAATGACTTCACGCCGTTTTTATCATTATGTGGGCTATGATAGGGTAGTGTGATGATTTCATTTACAAGCTACTAAACGTGACTTATTGGCATTACTGTCATCAAGGACACGGTCGCACCATAACATCAAGTGCACCGGCGGTAAAGCAAAGGTGTGTTCGTTTTTCTCATCCTGCGATTTTGCTTGTGAAACTCTAGAGGGGATCGAGAAGCTAGCCAAGGGTTGATAAAGCACTTGGTGGAGCAGACATAAGATCTCTAATCCCGCACCGCTTTAGGCCTCTGAAGACGGTAGTCGAAACGTCAGGCCACTGATGTTAATAAAGCTTCACCCAATCGTGCTGGCAAAGCAATGCTGACACAATTTCAAGACTAAAGTATTGCCGATGACATGCTGGAGGCGAGTAGTACCAAAAGATAAAAAAGAGGAATATATACACAAAAAAGCGGAAGCGAAATGATTCCCCCGCTCGATCCCCCCTTCTGTATAAGGGGGTTCCTGGTTCCTTCCCCTACTCCCCGGGGATCCGTTCGCCGGTATTGTCTTTGTGCATACGGGGTTCGCGTGGAGAAGGAAGGGGAGCCCCAGCGGAAATCATTTCAATGGTTGAGCGCACATCCCCTCCCCGCGGGACGTGCGTACGGGCCTAAGATATTTGTAACATGTATAAATGCAATAGTTTATTACTCCTCTATTCGAAAACCTACAGTTATTTTCTTAGCGTCCAATTTTTACCCACCTCAACACAAAGAAAAAAAGACACAGCTCTTTTTCGTCCGCGTTAGCGGATATGCCGGATATGACGATCAAGAAAGAGACGGAAGTTGGGAGGGTTGTATAACATAAGAACGGATCAGAGAGGAGCGACTAACGAAAAACAAGCCCTAAATCACCCCTTTGCGAGGCAAAAAAGAAATGGGGAAAAGAAAAATAAGCGGGGCTGTATGTAGCAGCGTGGGCTGCTCCATATCATATTAAGTACTACGAGGCCTAGAAGCTGATTTGTACATCCTTCTAGTTTCCAGGAAATATCAATTTTAAGTGAAAGTACCAAGAAAAATGACAATTCCTCTCCAATTTAGTACGTAATCGGCAAGTATAAATCGTAGATAAGGATAGCTGTTGGATTGAACAGATTTTAAGGCTATTTTTGTAAAGTGCTCAGATATATTTTTCCATATTAGCGGTCATGCCAAACCTACCAAGTGCAAACTGTTTATTTTTCCACCTCGTGCTTGTAATGACGTTAGTATTCACAGTCTTCACACTATATTCACAGCGAATGCAATTGTAGATGTAGCTTCTGGAAAAACGTTCTTTCGCTCTTACCACATTTTTCCAAGAAAGTGGAGCCTTGAGGGTTATCACGAATTCTGATGGTGCCATAACTCAAGGAATTATTTTCAGAAAAGCAGTTTAGTCAAAGACTCTTTCACGAAGAAAAAAAGCTATGAAACAGCTTAAGCATCTTGATAACACGTCATTGATAAAATCTTGATAGCATGTCATTGATTAGCCGTAAATTAGTCATACGAAAAAATTTAAAGAATTTAGAAATTCAGTATGAGTAAGCGATGGTGTGCGGATGGGGGCATTTGCACGAAATATCAAAGTGAGATAAATTGCGGGCGGAAGAAAGCATAAACTAAACTCTTTTTTAACAGTAGAAACGATTCTTGGCTTTGTGCCATTTTTCTGCATCATAAACGTTTGAGCCAATTTTTGGACAACAAAAACTGCGTCTTTTTGATGGAGGGCGGGTTTGCCATCTAGTACACAAATATAACTGATTTTTCACAATACAATGCTGCGTCTTCTTCAAACGCTAGCGGTGACATTTAAAAAAAAGTGATAGCTCCAATGAAGATAAGGTTGCCGTAAAATGAAAAAAAAAACTAGTTTTTTTCTGGCAAAGATGTACTGTAACTCAACGTCATCATAATAGGACGGTATAAGTAGGAACGTACAGTAAAATTCGTCATTCCTGAGAAATCTTCTCACGGCGTCGCCAGAATGGACAGCAAAGGTACGTTGCTTGTAATAATGTATTCAAATCTCTAGTATCTTCCCTTGGTGGCGTTATGCTAAATTCTGCTTTAAGAACTTTACCCAAGTGCAAATATGACAGAAGTGTTGGCTTAAATTTTATAAGCAGGTAAAAGAAGTTCTAGAACAATGTTGTAAATCTTCAATTTCGATTTGTAGTCTAGTTCATTCATAAAGCTTCCTTATAAGCACTACTGCTAGGTTATTAGCATGACCGATATGCATTATTTTAGCATGTGTTTACACGGGAAGAAATACCAACTTAATTTGAAGTTCCTAAAAAAGACATATCCGCACTTTTGAAACACTGAGTTCGAATACTCATCCATGTCTGCGAAATATAGTTCTGCAGCGAGTTATCACGACCTCCTATCCCTGGGATTTCTCTCATATCAGCGCATTTCGTGGTTTTTGTGTACCACTTGCCAAAGAAGCTGGTTTCACTTTCAACTTCATTCAGTTTAGTCACTATTACGGAAATTCTCGGAGAATACAAGCATTTTTTATCTAATTTTAGAGAGTTTTGTGAAAACGTATTCAAGTAAAATATTCTTGGAGACCCGGACTTTTATGGTGCAAATCAGCACTGGTGATTATCGCTTACAAGGGAAGGACCCTCAGTCGAAGTGGGGTTTCCATACGAGGTGCATATCATTCTGCTGGTCTTGGGACGCTGATACTAAATCCGCGTTCCTTAGCTGCTCAATGATCTTCTGGGAGATGTTATGAGCAATAGTTCCCCAGGATAACCACCTCACATTATAAGCCTGGGGCGCCAAAAAATTCACACTTGTGGACAAATGGCCGCATTAAGCTGCGGAGACTATGGAGCAGGTGGTAAAGGGTTCGAGCTCCCTTATGGAGCCAAAACTCATGCATTTTAGCAAATTGTTTTCTACGAATTCGGCGAAAATTCAGCTCTTAAGCGAAATCATAAAAAAAACAATTGCAAAAATGCATGAGTTTTGGCTACATAAGGCAGCACGAACTCTTTACCACCTGCTCATGTGGAGTGGTTATCCTGGGGAACTATTGCTCATAACTTTTCCCAAAAGGTCATTGAGCAGCTAAGGAACACGAATCAAGTATCAGTGTCCGCAGACCAGCGGAATGATATGCACCACGTATGGAAACCCCACTTCGACCGAGGGTCCTTCCCTTGTTAGAACTTCTCAGCTCCATTGTACAATAACGAGAACTATGTATGCGTATCCTTATATTGAAAAAAACAAGTCAGCCAAAAATCATAAATCCTTATGATAAGACGAGATATAAGAAACCTTGTATATACGCCTTTTCTGAACCAAAAGAGCTGATATTCATCCCTCAAAAGTTCCTTTAAACACACATATCATATAAAAGTATGCATCAATAATTAAATTTTGCGAATCTTCTTCAAATTTAAAAGGACGTTTTTGTGTCCACTGTGGTGCGACGTTTAGTATGCTCAATAAACAAAAGTGTAAGTGTTGTGTAAGTAATAAACCAAGTTTATTACTAACTAACTAAGTTTCAAATTCATCACTTGCAACGCTTTAGTACTTATTGCTTGATTTCAGTAGCACTCATCATTTTCTCTTTGATTGCCATTGCAATCTGCAACAATGCTGATGGTATGCGTTGAAGTTCCGACTCGTGAGAAACTAGAGTTTTCCATTTTCTAGAAATGCATGTTATATACAGGGTGTCCCAAAAAATGTTAACACTGTTTGATCGTTAATAACACCCTTGATTTCATGTCTTTCGGCGAGCTTGAGGCACCATTCTGTAGAGCGAGGTTCAACTTAGATTTGCAGTATGGAGCGATTCATCGTTCGCTCTTCGTTACTGTAGGATTACGGTAAAAAATTCATGTGGAAGTCGTGTGCTAGGGCTTTCGCGCACGCTGATTTTACTACACAACTTTTTACGAGTGTTTTCAGCCTTTTTGACGGTGTAATCACATTTTTGAGACATGGAAAGTCAGTTATTACATTTTACTTAGGATAACTTTGAAAAGAAATATCATAATAAAATGGAAATTTCATATCCAAAATCGGCTGCTTTCATTACCATTATACAAGAGTTGGGGGACGAGTGGCATAGTGGTATGAGGCGCCGCTATGACCAGATCGAATACAGGCTCGATCCCCGCCCCTGGGCCAACCAAGCCCTCTACCCTCCGGGGCCGGTAAATTGGTACCAGAGTAATCTGGGAGGATAAAAGCACTGACTTGGAAACGGCTGGCCCCCGCAAGTCACTGCAATAGGCTCGCACGCATACAATTGCCTCTTCGACCATGAAGTTAGTTAATTGTGTGCGTTCGGCGCATGCCCTCAGAGGGTATTGAAGACGCCGAATCCTTTATCCTTTATTTATAAAAGAGTTTTTGGCTTGTTTGGTTCTGTTTCGAAGCAGAAAATGGCCTTTAATGGCCTAAAATCCTTGTCAAATTTCCTACCGTAATTCTACAGTAACGAGGAGCGTTAGATGATTCGCTCCATACTGCAAATCTAAGTTTATCCTCTCTCTACAAAATAGTACCTAAAGCTCGGCGAAAGACTCTAAAGCAAGGGAGTTATTAATATCAAACAATGTTAACATTTTTTGGGACACCCTGTATATATTAGAAACGACTACGACCAAATCAACTGCTACCACAGAACCCACGAACTCTACACCGGCACCTACCACGACGATGCCCCCCGCTCAGCCCACCACTCCGCCAGAGCCTACTACAGAAGCTCCAGGACCTTCTCCATCCCGTGGACCAAGACCGATTTCTTCATCATCAGAACCGGATACAACACAAGCAGCAACTGAGATCATAAGCACAACAGTCACTGATTCGTCAACATTTGCACAGCTAAGCGGAGTTCTTCTTGCAACATTGATAAGCGCTCTGTTAAGATAACTCGTTTCTATGTTATGAGAGATTTTTTACGGGCAATACAATGCTAATTCCATCAGTTCTTGTAAAGCAGCGAGCTTATACAAAACAGTACCGTATTATCCTTTGTCACTTTCACAACTGACTGACGCTTTTACGTCGTTCCTTATTCTTGTAAATGGTTGGTTGCAATGTTCCATGACCATATAAGTTGATAAATGTTTGGTCTCTCTTTACTGTTGAAAGTGTGCACCGTAATCTTAGAGAAGGAGATAGCTAGCAAGAACGCAGATAGAACCTATCCACGCACAACGAGAGTGCAATTCCGAATTTCGGGTCAACTCTGTCATGGAAAATAGCGGCCAGCAACATCAGATCCGTTGAATACCCGCTGAAAATCCTGAAATGAAGAGGGAAGAGCAAGTTTCAGCGCAGCTGGAAGCAAACAAATGTCTTTTTACAATCCACGCGAACATATGACACCGAATTTGGCACATGAGCGTGGGGGACTCCAATTATGTGGCTCAAAAATTCATGAAAATTATATGGAGGTGTCTAATTTTTTGCTAATTTAGCTGGAACGATTCCAGGCGGGTGACAGCCAAGGTGGAAACGACCCTTTGCGCAAATTTTTCACACATTTTTGCATAAATTGTATCTTCACTTTGAATCTTTTCGTACAAAAAGAGTTCGTAATCTTTTCTCTAAGGCCCGTATGCACGTACCTCACTGCGGGGTGAGGAGAGGATTTTAGAAGGGACGCTTCATATTTTGTGTATCACGTCATGTCGTTTGTGTGTCACTGTACACACATTCCATCTATGGCATTCTTATCCTAGATTTACAATCGCAAAAACGCAAGAGACTAAATCGACTACATAATTTGGGTGTATGTCAAGAGGCGCGATTTTTATTGCCAGATGGATACCAAATAGCACATAATAAGTGTTTTATAATTTTTCAAAATTATTCAGACTTTAGAAGAAGATATATCAGATAGTTGCATGAGTTACTTAACCTTGCTACCTTAGAATTACAATTCAAGACAGTAATTTTGAAGGTCAAAAACCCATGAAAATGCAGTTAAGAACAAAATTGGAAATATTTCGGTACGTTTTCCAGCAAAAGCCATCAAACTCAGTAAGTGGTTACCTCAGACAGATAGTAGGCCAGTGCACTTTATCTAATACTTTTTGAAGACTCGCATAGCATAATACTGGGGTTTTAAGTTGGTGACAGCCAGAGAAAACGCTCTTGACCGTCTCCCACATAATTTGAGGTGATTAGTATCTAAAAAAGAAAGAAAACATCAAGAACAAATTGATAACACCTTATGATTTGTTTCCTCCAACAATCCAGGATGGGAACGCCAAAGGTGTACCTGTATGTGTGTAATGGCACACATAACCATGTGAAATAATTCGGCTGTATCTCTGTGAGTTGCGCCGGCCAGCAAGCCTAAGGAGAACATGTGCAACTTTACGTAAATAGACGGCTGCGTTTTGATGCCTTTACTATATTTTGTTTTGTTTCCCTTCAACAGTGCCTACCAGTCGGCTTGGCAGCGAATTTACGAAAAATGTTGCTCGCTGCGATGACCATTTCTATATATTAGGTTTTGTAATAAATTCTTTCGCATCTTCTGTTTCAATTTTTTTCAGAATTTTACAAAGCGTTTGGCAAAGTGTTTGTATGTATTCGGAATCTCTAAGCCTGCTATAACAAATCTCCATCATAATATTTTTAATTTTTGAGAAGTTGAACAAAAAATTCGACTAGAAAAAGAAAAATTTGAGAGGGCGAAAATCCCATTTTCGACAACTATGTTACGCTGCGTCCGAGTGGGTTTGAAAAATTAAGGAACAACAAATTTTGCCACGTGTATGAATAGAATACTAGGTCCCGCAGATTACTTATAAGTGCTGAAATTTTTCAAATTCGGAATAACTGCGGCAGATGTCACCATATCCAGTATGGGATACACATCAGCGGAGACTTCGGCTGGCCAGTCTTCGACCCTGACCAGCAATTCGAAATCTTCCACTGCGGCAGATGGCCTGCCTTTTGAGAATTTTGAATTTCATAGTCGGAATCAGGGACATGAGAAGGCCCCAGAATGAGAAAACAAGGAAGTCGAGATTCTGGGTGGACGGTGCCTTTAAGGTAATTTGGTATTCTGCGTTGAGGTTTTCACGAGCAAAATAATGCGTTAACTGTAACCATGTCATGGCTCATTCTCGTAGACGTTTTATCTATTCCAACATAAAAAATAAAATCTTTTATGAATTGCCCTGTTATTTGTCTTCTATTTTGCGCTGGGATGAAAATCAGAGACATTACAGCTAAACTAGCTCTTCAATCCTAACTAATCTTAACTAGTCTTAAATAGACAGTATGATGTGAGCTGTGTACGTAAGCATTTTTTAGCTTTGTCCTTTTTTGCGGTGACATGACGTTTGAAGCATAATCGTTTGCTCCTCTTTACGCGAGACCTGCGAAATTGAAACATTTGAAACTTAAAGGCACTGACCAGGTCCGCTAGGGGAGTGGTGGAAACTTGATGCATTACGAGAGCGCAGCTCCTGACAAACCCAACAGTTCAGGTCCCATCAAAAAAGGTCGATTTTGAAGCGAGAAAATTGCTACGGACGAGTTTGCAGAAAGTGGGCTGTGCTCTAATTCTGCCTACAGTCGGTAGAATGAATCCCCCCTCCCTACCCCCCCCATCCAGCGTTTCCTACAGCTGCAGCAGAGCGCATCTCGTCCATCGCTTTTCCGAAGGGACGCTCGAAAAAGGGGTTTTTGCCGTTTTTGGATAGTTTGAGGGGCAGATTTGGATTCAGAAGGCCGAGAACAGTCAGAAGTGTCCAAAATCTCGGAGGTGAACCCTTCTACCTGGGGTGTCTTTGAGCCTGACAAAATAACAATCTGGTCGCAAGTAAGCGACTTCCTGTAACGCTTTATCACCGAACTAAGTTCTGTCCAAAGCCGAAAATAGAACAAATTGAAGCGTGTAGCGTGTAGTTTTAGAATATGTTCGTTAGAGAGTGAAAGCTGCTAGTTATTTTCTCTCTAAACGGAACTGATTGCCATTTGACTTCCATCTTATCATGTCGGAGGATTATCGCCTTACGAAAAATTTGGAAAGCCGAAGATTCTAAGGACCTGACACATTGAACTGAACTAAGTGTTGCAAAGGCCGTTGTCAAGTTTTATCTGCAAGTTCAGTTCAATGTGGAAAGATATCGTATTTTGTACCGGTATACATTGACTTACAATGAGTTTTTTCTAAAGTGTGTACTGGTTATCCTAATTGTTATTCATTGTGAAAAATTTGGAATTTGTTATACAAAATTCACTAGTGCACTTTTGTGTGACTTATGCAGTCTTGCATTGTTTTATTATGGTCCTTTGAGCAATCTTTGTTATGGTTCTTTAAGCAATCATACAGAACTTCTTTGATTTTTGAAATTTCGTTCTGGCTGGAAGAGCAGCAGCCCTCCCAAAACATTTTACTGTGCTTCAATCAGACATAACGATTTTTTTGAAGCAATAATTATAAATTTAACGAAAAATGCAGCATTTCAGAGCATCTCCTGAATCGAAATCGTTCGTATTTCTCAAGTTTTTACCTGATATTTCAAAATGTGGACGAAGTATGTATATAGCCGAGACCTATCCTTCTGTCTTACATTTATCCCTCCCCAGAAAATCACAACAGAAACTTTGAGGGATAACGAATGTTTCGAAACGAATATGTAGAACTCAAGGGTGAAGAATTTCGAGATTTTTCCGAAAGCATTGAAGATTTGAGCCCGAAAACACATTTTGAAAGGGGAAGAAGAAACTCAGCTTGATGTACATCTAAAGCTTTTCAGTCCTCATAATACGATGTTTTACGTTCTTTCGAGGAAAGCGAAAAAAATTTTGAAGCACAAATATTCTGCGCCGCTTACTTTGTCTAATAAGCAACAAGAATAAGTGTAGAACACTCGTTTTAAATACATGGTGAAATTATTCTATTCTTCTAAGCCGGATCAGCATTCGTCGTTCTAGTATTAGATAATCAATGCAATTACATAAATCAAGATTTGTCAAAGATGCCAAGTTAATGAGCTAGAAACCGTATGCTCGAAGTAACAATGAAGTTGAACTTTGAATATGAATGCATGATTTTTATTTGTGAAAATCGAGTTGCACAGTTTGGTCTGAGCTTCCAACAGTCTAATGCGGAAATTCGGCAAGGAATTTCAATAGTGCAATAGGATTAGTTGAATATTTTGACAGTTACTGAGCACAACCCTATCGTTGTGAAAAATAAAGTCCGTCGCCATAATTTTCTCATAAACATTACGCCCAGCCAAAGTTACTGAAATGTTTAGAGAGAAAATATGAGACCTTACATATGACCTGCTTGAAGTACGACATTTGTATCGCTTTGAATAAATGTGAACTTCAAGGGTCAAGACAAATATGAATTTTACCGTCTTCAGCAAAGTTTCTTCCCGGAAGTTGAAGGATTTTAGCCATGCGATAGAAATGAAAAAAAATGATCGGTGCGGAAATCAATTTCGAGCTTTTTGTACCGAAATCAGGAGGACTATTTGAAAAAAATCCAAAAATGCTTCGACCGCTTTTTCACATTCTTCATTACGGAATGATTATTTGCTCAGAATGTCAGAATTTATTCTTTATTATGACTAACGTTGAAAACGCAAAATGATTCTCACACAGTTTAGCTATTAGAAAAAAGAGCGATTACTAGGAATTATGGCAATTAATAAGTCTTGCATAGTTTTAGTCTATGTCATAAATCTTGCACTAAAATTTTTCAGACTTAATTTCTATGGGGTCTACTAACCTGTTTAACGACCAAGTCAGTTTGGTAAAAATGATGGAAAGTATATCTGAACAAAAAAGTTCCATTTTATGACGCTTGAGGGAGAATTTCGTTACCGTATCAGGTGCTTGAGTACTGAAGGAGACCACTAATTCAAGCTTTTTCTTTAGATTCCGGACCCAGAAAATTTTAATTTAGACTAATATCGATTTCACGAAACATTTTTTCTGACTGAAAAAATTTGCAGGACAATTGTCTCGACAAAAAAGCTTTGATTTTTTAAGTCTTATTTCCGGATTATCAAACTTTATTCACAAAACTTATTCAAAATTCTTTGGACTCCCAA